CAAAAAATCCATGAATTGATTTAAAATTTTACAGGTAGCTTTTTAATAGTAATAGGAATCTACAATACCAAATTCGACATGCTAGCAGCGTTTAAATATATAGCCTATACAACCTTAAGGGGATATGGTAGTCACTTGACTTTTCTAACATTTCCCGGTAAGATCTGGACATTTATCGCTCTGTTTTATCGATAACCAGTCTACAATAGTGCAAGATATGAATTTACAGGACTACACTTCTCGTTTTTATATGAGAAAATTGTTGGGTCGTCAGACACCTCTGTGGAAAGACGAAGGTTAAATCTGGCGTGCTCTGGTCTTCATTTCATTCAAAACAATCTCTTTTGGATATAAAATTGCTTATAAAAAAAGGCGTTGTAACTTCGATGTAACGCTCCTAAATAGCAGCATATTTCGATTAAATCAAGAGAAGAGCATGCCAGATTTGACTTTCCTCTTTCTAAAGAGATACCTGACGACCCACAAATTTTCTTGTATAAAGACGAAAACTATAGTCTCATAAATCCATATTTTTGGCTAATTTTGTGAGTAACATTCACATTCTGCCTTATCTTGGCATTGTTGGAGTCTCCGCTTTTAAGATGTGATCGCTGATAAAAGAAAGAGTGAAACTCAAACTTATATAATAAGCATTCAGCATCTGAATACACATTTTTCTGTAGAAGCTACAATTACCGATAGTTACTTGCAATAAACAAATGAACTCTAATTAAGATTGTATCTCTGATAAGAAGAGGGTTGAAAATCAAACTTATTTAATAAGAAGGTCCATGCCTAGGTGCATAAATTTAATAAGATTATAGACGGACCCCGAGAGGGTGGGAGATTCCTGAGAGGATTTTTCGCTTAATACGTAAAGTAGATTTTTCTTATTCTTAATTAAGGAAAAATTGTTGCCCGAAGCAGTTCAACTTTCATACTTATTCCTTACGATCTTACAATCACTCGTATTTATTCAGAACGGAGAACAAGATTTAAAACAGCGAGCATCTTTTAATTTAATTATTAAATTCTCCGAAATAATTTTCAACACGATCCATTAAACCGTTTGAATTCCACAGGCTAAAAAACCTTTTAATCTAATTTAAAACTCCTTCCCGGGCGAACAGTATCTGCGTTTAAAAATGAACGCAACTCTTATTTTTATTCGACTAATTATCAAGCTGACAAAACAAATGACAAGCAATTGGCAAAACGGGTTCGAACGGATTTCGAAAAACGCCTGTGGCCGTTTGTTCTTTTTGCGTCGAATTAACTTTAATGTCTTTGTATTTTCCTCATCGCAAATTTATTTCCGAACCGTCGACAATTTTCGATACAATAATGCGTTCTCTGTAGCATCACTACAGATAAATGTTTGAAACAACATTAAAGGAAGTTTCATACTCATTATTTGATTATTCAGAAGAGTAGTTACGAAAAAAGTAGGACCTTATTTGTAGATAATAATAGTACGACTTTTGTTCAAAATATTCTTCGTTACGACCAATAACTAGTCAATTAATTAATTAATCAAACTTACGGGCAGACACGTTGGAGCTCTTCCTTCGTCTCGACGAAATTACTGGTGTTGATTCTCTCCAGTGGCCTGCCACACTTCACTAATCTCTCGTGGCCACACTCCTCGCTGCGACAGCTTCCCAGCACTGCGAGACAAAACCAAGAACGATACAAATTAAATAAAATTAATACAATAACAGTTTTACGCGAATAAAATTAATTATAATCAATTAAAACTGAGAAACAGTCAGACTTACAGACTAAAAAGAATTTTACTCGAATTAAAACAATAATTCTTATGATCAGAAGAATTAATTATATAGAATTAATCGTATAGGAGATTTAGAAAATTGATATGAAAAAAACTTTATTCGAATTAAGACGATAATTCTAATGATTGAGAGTTAGATGATACATCCTAGGGGATTGGAGTTTGAATTTTTGATTAATTCCAATTGCGAATCAGTTATAGTTTAATTTAGGTTCGGGGCACGAGTCAAACTCGACGGGGGGTTCAAACTCTCGTTACGTTAACCCCTTTACGGTAGGGTAATCCCTTTCTGATCCGAGCAAAAAGAGGAGCCGAGGATTTAAGTGGATCAACCGAGCCGTTGTTCAGGAACAGACCGTACAAGTAGTATAGCCGCGCGCCCGTTCAGGGCCAGACACACCGTACAAGTAGTCCAGCGCGCGCTCTGGTCAGGCCACCCGTACGGGATTTACTGATCGTCCTCGCACAGAGACAGGCACCTTTCAACGATTCTTTCGATCGTCAATAGGATTCAAATGAAAGTCCAACTAATTTACGATTTATTAAGAGTCATATAAAACTAATTAAAAATTACATTGCAATTTCTTATCAAAGTAATGAAATGAATGGAAAGTTTGATAAGTAAAGTACTATTTAAATTTTTATATTTCCGGTTCTCTTGACCTCAAAGGACTTGTTTACCACTCGTTTTAAAGTTAAAGTTCTATTTTACAACATCCTCAAGCAATGATTAAGTTAGACTTTTGCAAACTTAATTTACATAAATTCTAAACTGAAATTTATTAACTGTTTTATAAAAATAATCATATCTCCCATTCTATTGTTCCCAGAATACTTTTTGGCGGCTAATTTTATAAGTAAAGCTTTACTCTGAAACATGCTTGAACCTCGATACATCGGACAATAACAGCAGCGGTGTTTCGCAAAACTGTGAAATAATTTGAAAAACTGTTGAAATACACAATGAAGATAATCGTGCATCTCGGTTCATTCACAGGAGATAACATGGCCCGGTAATCGATTTCCAATCTGCTGAGCCAATCCTGAACCCGTGGGTAGGGTGAGAAATTAATTTTCTTCACGTACAATCGATCAATCGGAGAGAGAAACACGATTAACTCGTGTCTCGAGGATCTGTTCGAGTTTTCCTTGGGCACCACCACCCTCAGAAAGCAATGACAACTTCTCTATCAAAGGATGATATAATAGAGAGGATTAGCCAACCGAGCATTTCTTTTCTTATTCCGAAAGAACTTTTCAATTTCCCCGACAAATTCAATTGAAAGTGAAATATTTTTTCTTAAACAGATTGAAGAATCTTTTCTAATTACTGATTAATCTGCCTATTAAATAACCAAATGACAATAATAGGAAGTTCTTGCCAATGTTCAAAAAGGAAGCACGGTAAAATGAAAGATTAAAATTAAATCATAGTTTCCACGTTTGTTCTCCCTATTCATTTATTTATTTATTTATTTACTTTTGTTTCTTTCTGGGAAAAAATAGAGGGAGCGTGTTTCCGGGGTGGTTAACGATGACGAACGAGCCACCGTGTTTATTATATACCGCGTGTGGCGGTGGACTCGTTGCCCAAAAAACCATTCGTTCAAATTAAGAAGTTGATACGAATTTAATGCTGGGTTTTGTTTATAAGCGGACACCTTATTTTATCGCCGGAATTTTCTTTCCCCTTTTAACGAGACTGAGCTCTATTCCAAGAGCTGTGATTCGCACCAATTTTTATTAGAAAATATAAGAATTTTAAGATCGACTGATGGTTTATCTCAGAGTTTGGAAGAAAAATGTTTCATATACAAATTCTAGCTACTGTCATCACCCAAATAAGGTTCTATACAATTTTACTGTAACTCAAGTCCTCCTTTTGAATCGATCTCCCCCTCAAACATTATTATTTCTGGTCATAGAAAAGAAGGATCGATGGTATCGCTATTTTCCACAGTTTTCCCGGGGCCCGGGTTATTTGATAATAGTCAATCCCGCGTGAAAATAGAGCCGACGGTGAATTTGCATGGAAACTCGGTGGAAATTGTAGCTCGATCACGTCGGTACACGGTTTTCCAAAGTAGAAACGACGGGTGGTGGCGAACGGGGAGGCAAGGGGAGGGGGGGGGGCGATGTGGGTTTGAGGCAATCCTTTCGCTCGTTATTTTAATGATCGGTCCCTGCTTCATCCTTCCCGGAATTAACGTTAGCCCCCAGCAGAATGAAACGACCACAGAAAATCTCTTTCGTCTTCATCAATTAACTTATTCAATCTTGTATATTCGATTTATTAATTCCTACCTGCATCACTGTTCGAGGTATCATATCGCAAGTATATTAGAGATTAGAGCTTTAGCTTTAAAACGAGCCATTAAGTAACCTCGTAGTTCCAACAGAACCGAATATATAAAATTTTTCCTAAAACCCCAAGCATTCAACTGGGTTAATTTGATAAAAATCATAATATCTCTACTTCTATTGGGTCTACAATGGTCTTCGGGTGGTCAAATTAAACTTGAAACTCCTACGTATCTAACGAAACCAAAATTAACACGATCTACACAATATTACTGATTCCAGAGAATCTCTAATGAATTTTACAGTATTTCTATTTTATTCGAATTTCCTTTTTATTATTTGGACCCTGATTAGAATAATTTTCTGTCCAGAATGGTTTGTGGGAGGTATTGGAGAGTTTCTGGGTAAAATTACGGACACATTATGCGACCGAGCATTAGTTAATTCCTCCCGGCTATTTTCACACTCCCTACGTCGTGGGACACTGGCTGGTTGCGAAAAGGGGTTGCAATCTCTCTGTTCTCGTGGAAACACGTTTTCGAACTCTATTTAGATATTAAAGAATTCCGTTTCCACAATTAATTAAGACAACTATCAAATTTTATAAGCATTCTATCAAATTAGAAAAATACTATTTACAGAATGGACCGAACGTATTGAATATACTTCATACAATTAAATTTCTACTTCGATCATCTACAGTGACTCACGAAAGTATTTGAACACCTACCGTGAAATNTCCTAAACATACTGCAAGAATTGTAAAAGAATGGATCTTATATAATACCCCTCACACGTTGGTCACACCACCACAAAGCCCTGATATTAACCCGATTGAACATCTATCGGCAATAATAGGGAAAGAATTAAAAAAATTTAATACAACATCCAAGGCAACTTTAAAAGAAAAAATACTGCAAGTGTGGAATTCTGTATCACCAAGTACTACAGAAAAGTTAGTAAACAGCATGCACAATCGCTTACAAGAAGTTATTCGTGCTAAAGGTGGACCTACTAAATACTAAAACTTTAAAAATGATCTGTTCAAATACTTTTGTGGATTCAACAATGCTTATGTTTGAAAGAAATAATTCATATCTGTTGTGTATATATTTCGATTCGTTTGAAATTTTACGTACATAATCTAAACAGTCATACCCACTTACAGTGTTAATATTATTTCGGTAAGCGTTGTATAACGTACTGATTATAATTAATAACATATTTCATGGTAGGTGTTCAAATACTTTCGTGAGTCACTGTATGTATTAAATCAGAATATTAAGTTAAGAAAATACTGTTATAATAAACGAATATTAAATTTGGTACAATTAAATTTCTACCTAGAGATTAAATCTATTAAAATTCCATAAATAAAAAAGCGAAGTAGCAATGCTCTGTCCTAATTTAATGAACGAAGAATAATTTGTAAAAATATCGTTTGAGTTGTTCTGAAACTGGATAGAACGGAGCATTGAACTGGTAGGAGGATAGAAATTAAACAGAGAGATAGATGTTTGCATAGTAAGATAGATAATTTGGTTAAGATTGAAATTGATTAAGTTAGTGTTGACTCTAGCGAAGGTAACTCTTATCAAAGAGACGTCCATGCCATTATATCAAACGGAATAATTCCCCTATCGCCTAGCATAATCTCACAGTTCTCTATTATCATACAGAAAACCGACTATTACTTTTGTAGGATTTCATAACTAACGAACTATCATACATTTAGTAATAATTACTTCGAAAGAAGTCGAGATACAAAAAGTATTATAGAATCTTACTCACAGGCAGTAGAACCACCTTCGATTTTTGTTAATAATATTTCATTATAGAATTGAAATTATAGGAATTATAGATAAAAAATTGATTAAAACCCTTCCTCGAGGATTACTAAGAAACTAGTCTCGTACTGTTGACTTTTTAATGGGAATAGAACGTTTTAGACCATACTTTCAGTTTTTAGATTTGCATGACTCCATGCAGAAGGTTTGGATAAAATAACAGACTGATTTGATGATTGAGAAAATAGAAAGTGTAGTTAGCAATTGATATTGTTTTGCAAAATGTTATTAGTAAGGAATGAAGTCACTTTAATGGGGCAATTTTGATGATTACTAAGAAACTGTTTGAGTTATTGAGAAATATTATAGAAGGTTTCTTGTGAATGCTGGTGTTAGCTTTGATTTTCATTGATAACAGTTCATTGTAGAATGGAAATTGTAGGAATTATAAATAAAAAATTAATACCTTTTTTCGAGTATTACTAATAAGAAAATAGTCTCATAATGTTGGCTTTTTAATGGGGATAGGTAGGTCCGTTTTAGATAGTATTTTCAGTTTTTAGACTTGTAAAACAATTTGCAAAATTGAAGCTATTCATAAAAAACTAGTAATCCACCACGAGAATCCTACATTTCCTCTAATCAAGATAAATCAGTACAAATAATGAATTTTTATATAGTATAGAAAATTCACTGAATCCAGGAAAATTGCATAGTTTATAAATCGTGAGGCACTAAAATTGCCAAGAATGTTAGCTTACGTAAGAAAAATTGTAAGATTCTATCT